AAAAAAAAAAAAAATGATATTCATAGAAAGCAATCTCCAAACATATACTCACCTTAGAGGGTGTGGTGTAAGAGTTCAAGAGGCTCTCTTCTTCTTCCTCCACTTTGATTCTAAAAACAGTGTTCAAGAAAAACAGACTTCCACCCAAAATCTAAGGCAAGGGTTGATTAAATAAGAAACCTGAATAGTAGGTACTTTTTAATTTTTTTTATTTTTAAGATTTTATTTGTTTGACAGAGAGAGAGAATGTGAGAGAGGGAACACAAGCAGGCGGAGAGGGAGAAGCAGGCTTCCCGCTGAGCAGGGAGCCCGATGTGGGGCTCGATCCCAGGACACTGGGATCATGACCTGAGCCGAAGGCAGACGCTTAACGACTGAGCCACCCAGGCACCCCTGAATAGTAGGTACTTTTATTATTTGTTTTTAAATTACACAAATTACCAAATACAGCCCCTGGCTTTATATAAAGACCCCAGCAGGAAAGGATACAGCTCTTGGATGGAAACAATGTCTCTAGCTCCCGCGTGCCCACCATCCCTGGGCACTCTGGACAATTTTTTGCTCAGACACTGAGGAATAAAAGATAATGAAGATATTATTCCATAGTCAAGTAACAGAGGAGGTGTTTTCCACAGCCAAGAGGTAATAACAGGCATTCAAAATATAATCTAATATATAAAATTCCTCCAAGTAAGGATTAAGTTAAGATGATGCATGACAGGCTAAAAACGAAGAGTTATCCCATGACTGTCTGCAACCACTTAAATCTAACAACCCCACCAATGATTTGTTGAAGCCCTACCACTCGACATACACAGTTTTAGGTGATTTAGACCCACTCTCATTTAATTCTTACAATAACCATAAAAAAAAATAGGGGTTATTAGAACCACTAACATAAGAGGAAACGGAGGCTCAGGGACAGACATTATGTAGCCTGCCCAAGTGCACACTGGGACCAGAGTCCTGATCTGTTTCTAAAGCCCATACTCTTCTCACAATACATCACAACGCCTCCCCTCAAGAGCAGAAATGGGGAATTTCATTATTAGTTTCCTTACATTTTGTTCTTACCTCATGCTCAAAAGAGTTCAGGGTCTCTGAGGTGAGGCAACCTTTCCCTGTTCTGGTGCAGAAGGCTATAAGCTCAGCTACCATTCCCTCCTCGTCCTGTCCATACAGAATGCAGAGCTCCACCACTACAGGAAGGAAAAGTGAACAGGTAAGAACACAGTTCATTTCTTGCAGCTTTCCCCGTGAAAGGTGAAATCAATCTTCGATTTCTTCAGTCAATATTTCTTCAGCACCCACTAGTGCCAGGCACGGTTCCAGGCATGATAATATAGCAGTGAACAACACAGAGAAGAATCCTTGTCTCCATGAAGCTTACTACTGGAGACAGAAAACAAGGAAGTAAAATCTGTGGTATGTTAGATGGTTAAATGTGCTGTTTAGAAAAATAAAGCTGGGGGCGCCTGGATGGCTCAGTCCGGTAAGCATCTGCCTTCAGCTCAGGTCATGATCCCAGCATCCTGAGATGAGCCCCAGGTCGGGGTCCCTGCTCTGTGGGGAGTCTACTTCTCCCGCCCCTGCTCTTTTTTTTACAGATTTTATTTATTTATTTGAGAGAGAGATTGTGAGAGAGAGAGAGAGCACGAGAGGGGGGAGAGTCAGAGGGAGAAGCAGACTCCCTGCCGAGCAGGGAGCCCAATGTGGGCTCGATCCTGGGACTCTGGGATCATGACCCGAGGCTAAGGCAGACGGTTAACCTTAATCGACTGAGCCACCCAGGCATCCCTCCCTCCCCCTGCTCGCTCTCTCCCTCTCAAATAAATAAAATCTTAAAAAAAATAAATAAATAAGATTTTAAAAAAAGAAAAATAAAGCTGGGGAAGGGATCAGGGGGTTGGGAGCAGGGGTTGGTAATTTTCAATACAATGATTAGGGAAGGCTTCACTGAAAAAGTGGAAGACTGGGAAATGAGTAGTGCAGTTTTTAGGGAAAGAGCTTTTAAGCAAAGATCCTGAGGCAGAAACAAGATCAGCAAAGCTACTATGGCTAGAACACAGTAAGGAAGGAGGCAGAAGAGGAGTTCAAGGGTAAAGGGAGTGCAGACTCATGGCCACTATAATTACCCTGGTTAGTACTCTGAGCAATTTAGAAAATCACTACAGTGGGGCACCGGGGTGGCTCAGTTGTTAAGCGTCTGCCTTCAGCTCAG